TAGACCTTAGTATATTTATGAACGGTAATGTACTCGATGAGTCTCCTACCCTTCATCTTCTAGGATTAAATCTTGCTTCTGATCTTTCTTGGAAACCTTATATAAAATTCGTTGCAAAATTAGCATCTGCTAAAGTCGCTTCTCATTATCAAGCTCGTCACTTTCTTTCTCTGGATTCTATTCTCTATCTCTATAAATCTCAAATCCGGCCTTGTATGGAATACTGTTGCCATATCTGGGGTGGATCTTCTAATGATGCCCTTTCTCTTTTAGACAAGGTGCAAAAACGCATTGTAAACATAGTTGGACCTAATCTTGCAGCCAACCTTCAACCTCTGTCACATTGTCGTAATGTTGCTTCTCTTTCTCTTTTCTACAAATACTATAATGGGCACTGCTCTAAAGAGCTAGCGTCTCTTGTGCCATCTAGAAAAATTCATTCTCGTGTTACTCGTCGTTCAACTAAGTCTCATCCTTTTTCTGTTATTGTTCCTAAGTGCTCCAAAAACTCTCATTCGTCTAGTTTTTTTCCTCGAACACCAGTTCTTTGGAATTCGCCTCCTTCATCTTGCATTCCTGATTCATATAATTTGCAATCTTTTAAGTTGTCAGTCAATCGTTATCTTGCTCTTCAATCTTCATCTTTTCTCTTCCAGTAACTTCCAATACTAATTAGTGGTTGCTTGCAGCCTTGTTGGAAGCAAAGATTTTAAAAAAAAAAAAAAAAAAATTCATGGTATTTACTTAAGATTATGACCTCGATTGTAAGATCTTTTATCGAAAAATATATCAATTGATTGATATTCATTTTACATGAAAAAAGCCACTGAATTTTTCATCAATAAATTTAACAATATAATAAAACTTATTTATCGTTCTCACAGAAATAAATTATATGCTAAATGTAGAATTAAATTATATAAAAAATAGGGATCATAGGTATTAAGTGTAATTCCAATTGATCATTTTGTTATATTTGATAATCGAAAAAAAACCTTAATTTGAGAAATGTTAAAATATAGAGCAATAAAAAATACTAAAAGTATTTTAGAATATAAAATGCAAATAAATGATAAAATTTTTATTTTATATACATTCAATACAATTTTTAAATACATTCAATTTTTAAATACATGACAACCATCGAAAGCAATTTTGATGATGTCATTTATATGATCAAAGTCATTTTTTTAAATTATTATCTATGGAATGTATTATTACAAATAATATTTATATAATAATGTTATTATTAAAAGAAATAAGACTCAACATAAAAAATAATAAAATAAATAATAAAGCATTTTTGTTATCAAGAACAAAAATAAACAATGTACAAACTTCAACAAACTATATATAGTTTGTTGAAGTTTATGCATTGTTTATCCATATTGTTACATATAACAAGTGCAGCAAGATACACTTGAGAAAATTGTCATTTAAAATTGCAACATGTTTAACTTTTTCTAAATTTAATGCTAAATATTCCTAACAGACTTGAATCATAAGGATAAGTAGAAAAATTTGATTTCGTCAAAAATTACTAGTACACAATATAGATCGTCTTGCCAAAAATATAAATACTTTTCACTAAACAAATTTTGTTGTCTAACACAAATGCCTCATGTTGCTTTAAAATAAAGATTTGGTAAGTAAAAATCATTACATGATATACACTATACACATACACATGTATATGATATACACTATATGCATACACATATACAATATACACATATACTTATACATATAATATATTGAATGTAGTATAAATATTACAATAATATTTTTGTGATAAGACAATGTAAATAGTACAAGACTAATTCAAACCAGAGACCTTTTAAAAAAACAAACCAAAAACAAAACAACATATATATATATATATATAGATATATATATATATGTTGAAAAAACAAAACAACATATATATATATATATATAGATATATATATATATATATATATATATATATATATATATATATATATATATATATATATATATATATATATATATATATATATATATATCGACTAAATAAAGAATTTAAATATATATCAAAATTCTTTATTTAGTCGATGAAATTGCGATTCTTGAGATTAAAATGTTTTATGTATTATAATAAATAAAAAAGTTTTTGTCAAAGTTAGATATATCAAACATTATAAAAAACTTTCATTTTTTACGTGAAAAATTAATGTTTTTTATAAGGTTAGATATATCTAACATTATTACCAACCGTGTTTTTTTAGGGTAGGTACAGTCGGCGGGGCGGGGCGGATCAGCGGGGCGGATCATTTTAACGGTACAAACGGCGGGGCGGATAATTTAAACGTTGCTAATGCAAGTCATACTTCATTAAATGAAATAAAAAAAACTTTTTTTTTATTTTTTTATTTGATAAGTATTTTTTATAGATTTAGATATAGTTTAAGTTCATTAAAGAAATAATATTTAAAAGGTATTTGCAAATTATAATTTTAATAAACGACGAAAAAGTTTGGCGGATCACGTTGTTCTACGAAGAAACAACGTGATCCGCCAAACTTTTTGATGTGGTCAGCTTAATATTTTGATTGCTTATATCAAACTCTTTAAGTTTTAATAATTGTTCTACCAAAATACAACGTGATCCGCCAATTTATATTAAATGATCCGCCAAACTTTACAAAGTGATCCGCCTAACTTTACAAAGTGATCCGCCTAATATTTCGATCGATTAAATCAAACTCTTAAAGTTTTAATAATTTTCCTACCAAAATACAACGTGATTCGCCATTTTATATTAAGTGATCCGCCAACTTTTATATAGTGATACGCCTAATATTTTGATTGCTAATATCAAACTCTTTAAATTTAAATGATTGTTTTGCGAAAAACAACGTGATCCACCAATTTATATCAAGTGATCTGCCAAACTTTATATAGCGATCCGCCTAATATTTTGACTGCTTATATCAAACTTTTTAAGTTTTAATGATTGTTCAACCAAAAAACAACGTGATCCGCCAATTTATAATATAGATAAATATAAATTGCGAATAAATGTGGAAAAATGGCGGATCACGTTGTATTTTGGTAGGAAAATTATTAAAACTTTAAGAGTTTGATTTAATCGATCGAAATATTAGGCGGATCACTTTGTAAAGTTTGGCGGATCACTTGATATAAATTGGCGGATCACGTTGTATTTTGTAAAAATGATTTTAAAATTATATAATATTTTTCGTCGTTTATTAAAATTATAATTTGCAAATACCTTTTAAATATTATTTCTTTAATGAACTTAAACTATATCTGAATCTATAAAAAATACTTATCAAATAAAAAAAAAATAAAAAAAGGTTTTTTTTATTTTATTTAATGAAGTATGACTTTATATTTTGACTTTATATTTAAATGACTTTATGAAAAACTTTATATTTAAATGACTTTATATTTATACTTTATTTTATTTAATGAAGTACGATATAAAATGTTAGCAACGTTTAAATTATCCGCCCCGCCGTTTGTACCGTTAAAATGATCCGCCCCGCCGATCCGCCCCGCCCCGCCGATTCTACCTACCCTTTTTTTATTAATAAGCATCTTTTGCATATCTTTTCATAAAATTTATGCTGATATGATATCAACATAACATTTATACAAACCAAAGTATAATAACCAAACATTTATACAAACCAAAATATAATATGTAGTTATACATAACATTTAGTTGTAATAACAAACTATATCTAGCTTTTATAGTACCATTATGGATAATGAAAAAAAATATTTAAATAATGGCAAAACGATATTCGGCCAAAACTCTGTATCCACCGCAATCGGGCCAGTACTGGCCCGAAATCAAATGCCGTCGTAGTGGCTTACGACTATTCGCCAGAGCTCTGGCATTTCGTCGCACGCCGCTACGACTTCTTGCGACGATTTACCGTACATAAAAAGTTGCTTGAATCGCTTGCCAGACTCGCACCAGTAATGGCCCGTTACTAATATAGTCGCAACGGCGTGCGATGCCTCGCCAGAGTGCTGGCGCGGAGTCGTGTGCTGTCTGGATTATGTTTCACTGGCAAAAATGAAAAAAAAAAATGTTGATCTGTGGAGATTATTCTACAAAGTTTCTTAAAAAAGAAGCTAGAAGATTTTTGAAGTCGTTTTCTCGACAGTTTATTTTATTTACACTTTATGACAAGTAAATAAACTGTTTTAAATGGCTTTTTTTGGGTTCTAGCACATCAAAAAAGATTATTAAGCCTATTAAATTACAATGTTTGATACTTGTTTTCATACTAATATGTTTTTTATATCTGAACTTTATAATTAAAAAAAATCACTTTATTATTTTTTCTATATTTTTCTTGACGCCATTATGGTACTACTTCAACCTACATAGCTTAGCTGGGTCATTATTCTGGGCGATTTTCAAAAAAATCTTTTATGCAGGATTGTATTGATTGCTTTAAAGTAAAAATACAATATTTAGACTTTATAATTTTTTAAAGTGCTGTTCGAAGTACTCATTGACTCGTTAAATGTTTTAAAAACATTTTTTTTTAAATTTGATCAACATTATATTCTGTAAACTTGATATTAAGTTTTTTCAAGATTATTTAAGATACGAGTTCAAAGGTTCCTGCCACCGCAACATTTTTGCATACCGAAGTAGTACTTCGGTATCCAAAAATGTTGTTCAATAACGGAGGCTGCTTTGGATTAGAAAATTGTATATAAAAAAAATATAGCATGAAAAATTCAAAAAAATTTTTAAATTGCTACTAATATTATTATACAATACGGTTAAAACTGTGTATAATTTTTTTGCTTATTTTGTATAAAGTTCAATAGTTCTTTTTTTTGTGTGTGTATTTTTCTATATACAATCTTATAACATACTTTCTAGCCATTATCCTATATCAAGTCATGATAAGTCTTAACTCTGGTCATGCATGAAATGCATAGTTTTTAAAATTACTCACTTAAACACAGATTTAGTCGATTGCAATTTCTAAAATATGACTTCAGAAAATGGTGAGCATGAAAAATGGTGAAAATGGTGGACAGAAAAATGGACAGAAAAATGGTGGCATGTGATTCGCAAAAGGCACAAAGGTTTAACTTGAGATCAACCAGAAGATACAGCAGATATTAGATATCAATGTATGAATGTTTGTAAAGTGTCGAAATATTTTTTTATTCTTAAAAATGTTTTAACGGAAAACAACCTACTTTAGAAACCGCAAAACATTTGGAATTTGGATGAGACTGGGAAGCAGTTTGATTATCGACTTGGAAAAACAGTTTCTAAAAAAGGATTAAGTATCTACAATATTGTCAATCAGGTAACTGGGAAACAATGAGAGTAATAACTTTGTTACCAATTTCATTTAAAAAAAAAAACTACTAATTCTCTGTGGTTGGACAAAGCAAGGCATTGTATTTCTATGGTTTACAAAGACATTTTGTTCCGGAAAATTTTGATTTTTATAAATATATATGAATTTGTTTACTCTTACAATATAATAAAGCTCTTGTTTTTTAATTAAAGTTTATTATTTTGGTTTTTACAGAAATTTCATATCCCAATTGCCCCGAATGGTGCAAACAAGCACTGGGATTCTTACATATATTTTGGGTTTTTATAAATGTGCACATGGCCTACGTAAATTACACGGCCTGATTTGTTACATTTTCCGTAAAAAATTATAAATCCCAGTTTTTTTACGGCTCAAGTATAAAAACTTAACTTTTGTTATGGTTAAGAGTCTTGCACGGTTAGCACGGATCCTTATAATGCCTACCTAGTTGTCCCAAGAACGCCACTTATACGGAAAGTTAGCGTACACATCAAGGTACCCTGTGATGCCAATTTTGAAAACATTTAACTTTGCCCGCGGAAAATAATTTAATTTGAATCTTCAAATTTAGTCAAATTTTGACTTCATAGTGCGCCAATAAAAATACTTGTAGAGTTTGAACCACTCAATATAATTTGATAAAAATTAGTGCAAATGTAGCCAATAGTTACACCAAACTCTGGACAAAATTTCAGCCTGATTGGATATCTGGTGTAGGAGTTATTGCAGTTTTAGTTGAAGTTTTGTCAGTTTTTTGCTACTTATACCTCAAAGTGTTACCGATTTCTTTGAAATTCGGTCACTATTTATAAAATAACGGTTACATGAGTGTTCTACTATGTAATACCAACAATTTTTGTTATAATTATTTTATCGGTACATGTACGGTTTCCATTTTAAAGACCAAAATAGTGATTTTGCTACTTTATTGGTGATGTGAATTGACTTATGCTAATAGTGTCGACACGGCCTTCAAAGTGGAGGGGGTCAAACCCTCAATTTCTAAAATAAAATCCATAATTTCTAAAATAATTGCCTATATTTCTAAAAAAAAACGTCCTCGCAAAAAAAAAGTAGAGAAAGACATGACCCCCTAGCCTCCCCGGCGTTGACGGCCATGTATGCTTCGCTTGAATATACCAACATTTCCTAAGGTATAAACTGCTGCCAAAAAAAAAGGCTAAAAAAAAGTGCAAAATCTGATCAAAGGACTACCAGTTAGTAAAACAAACAAAAAAAAGTAGATCTCCTAAAATATTTTGTATTGACCTCCTTAAATAAATTTACTTTTAAAATGAAGTGAAAACTATTTAAACCTTACTTTCAACATTGTATTACCATCAAATATCTAATTACATTTTAAGAAATGTTTTTTTGATTTTCTCGACCAAAATATTATTAATAAATAGCTCAATGTACTCTTTTAATACAAATACTCTATAATATTACTTTTAAAGATGGTAAAAATATTTATTATACGCCGTAAAATATGAATTTCAGCAGCCTAATTTTTAATAACTCAAATGATGTTCTTTAAAGATGCTTACTGTTTAGATCAATTATGCAGCGCAACAATCTTTCTTTGGACTCTTATTTGGATTATTATTTCGCTTATACCTCGACCAATGTTGATTAAAATATTGATGAGAAGTTTCGACAGTTTGTTCACTATAGGGCCCCAAGGGGGATCCTTTGTGACTAATGAAATCCTTGATATGGTAGAAGATGGCGTGACATTTGGGTGTTACGTTTGCACCAGTTATCATTAGGAAACAATTTCAATTTTTTCAGCGAAATTCGAAGGATGTATCCAAAGCAAACCTTGAAAACTATATTGAAGCTTTTGAATGCTTCAATTATGGACACAATATTGGGAACCATGATTGTCTCAGCAAGTTGCTGCAGCATATCCACATTTTTAAGAAACATCCTGCATTCAATTCCCTCAAACTGGCCCCCGTGGTACTGGCTTAGTTAAATGCGGAGGACGGCTGGCCACTTAACAGCTTTTATCCAAGCAGTTTTAAGGATCTTGAAAAGATGGTTGACAACTCCTAAGCGAAGATGCAATTCCATCAGTGGAATGATTTCCAAAATCAGAACGATGACTTGCCCGCAAATGATTGGCTTTCGAATGACATTGCCAAACAGCCTTGCATTAGCAAAAACCCCTCCAGATTGCTGAAGAGACACAAGGCTTGAATTAATTAAGCCCATTGTTCGCAAGTTTCCAGACAATTGAATTTGACGTCGCACCAGGTGCAAGGGTGCGTACTTTATTGAGTTTGAAGACCACAAATTATATTTGCAACTTTCATATCACAAGCCAAAATTAGTTTAACTCCATTTGGATTATCCAGTGACCAGATTTGTTCAATATTGGAGTGTGTTCAATATTGGAGTGTGTTTCAAATCTTCTGAAACCCCAACAATAATTTGTCTCTTGATACCCGTGTCTTTACCAGTCCTTTAAGTGAGAGGTTGTTGTTGGTGCGTTAAGCTGGTTTCATCCCTTAACGCAGTATTAACAATACTTAAGCAAAACTTGATAAAACCTATGCCAACATCAATTCCGAGCTTAACAAAATAGCCACCAAAAATTTTGCGGGACTGAATAACATGATTCACAAAACTTGATAAATCATTGCAGTGAGCAACAACATGAACTGAACAAGAACCTGTTTTTTTGTCTGTGATTTTCAAGTCGCTGCAGGTGAACAAATCGCTCAATTGTTGACCTAGTCTTTGAAAATTCATGTAGAGATTTCCCTCTACCATCTTGCTGCTTGATGTTTTGTTTACAGTTCTAACAAGTTTCTTTAATCCGTTGTTTGACAGGCCCGAATTTAATTGCAAATTTACAAGAGCTACAGTGGTCAATTTTGGAGCACTTGATGGTGTCTGCGCACTACTTTGACCTAAAACCAAAACAAACATATTTTATAGTTATAAAAAACTTTGTTTAGTAAGTTTGTGTAAAACTTTCAAATTATTCGTTTTTAAAGAAATTAGAAACTTGTCAAAAATATACTTCTTGAAATCTATCTTGTGTTATTTCTTAATAGTCAAGACTTTATTTCAATATATATGTTAAAATTATTTAAGTATAAATATTTACCAGGGTTAACTTTAAGTGGAGGCCACCGGATGCTTTAGCCAGTAGAATAGTTCCTTCCGGAGATAATTCTTTATTGGAAATAACTCGAAATGCAATTTGTTAGGACGATTTGGCATCTTTTGCTGCTAAAGATTGAATATTTCCCTTAACATTATTTGAGAGCATTGGTGGACCAAACCTTTTCCTAAAGGGCTGAGGCATTTGCTGCAACGCACCTTTGGTTTTTTCTCAATAGTGGTTTGCTCTATAAGAGGATGTTTTTCTTGCAGCTTCGAACAACCAATTTGGCATATTAGGCAACAAAACATCGTGCCTCTTGTTTCTGGTCTCACTTGTATTGACTTAAAATCAAACATAGAAGGGAGTGCAACTTCTTTCTCCTCTTGTTTCATGCGCAATGTAATTACTTTGCGCAGGAAACAAGAGGAGAAAGAAGTTGAAGTTGCTACACGATTCGCAGAATCCTTTTGTTACCCGAGTGTCACTGATATTGATCAGGGTCTTGTACAGTTGGCATATTCGATTTGCTTGAAAAGTAGTAGGCTGTCTTAAACATTTTTTCAAACAGAGCAAGCACACAAACTTTCGATTTTCATCATAATTCTTTGCTTGATTTGGCATCGTGGCAGTTTACTAAATTTGACTTCACTAAATCAAATTCTGCCTTTTACAAAATTTGATCAAAATTTATATTAACAATCCACTTAACATAGTAACACATATTAAAACTATTAAAATAAAAGAAATATTTACTTGATTTAATTGAAGTAATATTAAATTACAAGGAAATAATTCTTGAATAATTTTTTCCTTACCAGGAAACAATTGTTTAAACTATTTACTTGTAAGGAAATTACATTATTAATAATTGTCACACTTATTAAATTAATGATAATTGTCACACGTTTTGTTTTATTTAAAAACAACCCTTTAACATAATTAGTTATTCAGTTAGAGTAATTTTCCTCCGACTGGCCCTCCAAACTTTGTATTGGTCAAATATCTTAGTTAACTTATCTAAACTTTTTAGATAAAATAACTAAAAAACGTTAAAACGATTGTTATAACACTTTTCACCATCAAACCGTGCTATGTATGTCAAAATATATGTATTTATGTATGTAAACGTGCTATGTGCGGCAAAATTTGATCACCATCAAAACGTACTATGCATGTATATTAGTGTTCCTGTGCATTATCTAGGTATATTATGGGTATTAAATCTATTCATAGTCTTTACTTATACTATTTAGAAGTTTTTCAGTTAAGTTTGGTTAAATTAGCTAGGTATGATTAAAAAAAGAGATAAAACTTGTTTTATTGAAAAATATATCTAAATATTACATATAATTAAATAAAATCTACACAAATTTCTTCTCTTTTCCACCACCTTTTTGAAATAGAGCGTAATTTAGAAAGTCAAATAATGTTCCATTAACCGAGGTTTCTTTTGGTCCATTGAATACAATAGAAGATAAAAAAAAATAAAAAAAATAAAAAAGGGAAGATTTGAACATAATATAAATGGAAAAGTAATAAAACTTATGAAGGTATATCTTTTTCAACGCCATATAGATTATGATTTTCTTAAAACATATTTTTCCACTTTTGCCTTTCATATCCGTGGAGGCCATATAATTTTTTGAAAATACTCTAAATTTTTAAAAGAAAATATAACTGTTAGTTGGTTGTTATTAGTTTTTCAAATATTTAATTTAAATAAAACAACCTTTTTTCAAAATAGATTAATAATCAAAATATAAAACTTTTCTAGCATTGAAAAGAAATTTTCGGGGTGGCCACATAAAATTTTTATTAGAAAATTTTATGTGGCCATTTATTATTGGTTTAACGTCCATGTTTATACACTTATGTGGCTTGGACAGTGGTTATATAATGTCATTTTTTATGTTAAAAATGCTAAAGCAATTTTTACAATTCCATGCACTTTAAGGCGTTAACTAATTTTGCAGACCGAGATTGGGTGTTTTAAGCATTATACTTCCATTAATTTTGCAGACCGAGATTGGGTGTTTTAAGCATTATACTTCCATTAATTTTGCAGAC